AAGATCATCAACTCGCGAGATATTAACCAGATCAAGGCGCTCAAAGGCGTCGGTGCAAAGAAGGCAGATAACATTGTCAATTGCTTAGTCGAGATGAATGAGGAAGAAGTGCATGATCTGGAGACTCTGTCCATGCTCAAGGGCGTAGGAGGAAAGACGGTGGATAATATGAGGATGGGATTAACTGTTAGTTGTGGTTATGATTTCTGAGCTTTGACTCACTTCTGTTCTTTAAGCATGGCGTTTGGGGGGCCTTACTGCATTGGCCGTTTTTTGGCTGTGCTCGATTTGATCTGTGGGTGTTGGGTTGCATGGGTGGCGTTGTGGAGTAGAAGCATAACGGTGCTTTGGCACTCGGTATTTGACAGACAGCAATTGCATCGTCGTTCTCAAGCTTAGTCTATGTTCTTGTTTCACTATGCTTATTATGTTTGCTCTCTGAGAGGCTAGAGATGTTGCGACGCGTTAAAAGCTCGTTACGCTAGCTTGCGTTGCAGCTGCTAACATATACAAATGCTGCGTATAAGACCGTACTCAGGAGCATTCATACCTAGCTCCGCGATAGTAATAGGAAACTTGCATTTGTAAGCCTCGCTATATTTGATCAACAATGCCTTCTTCCTCCAGACACGCTCATATGCCCTTCCTTCTCCGTATCTTCTGCGGTCTTACAAACACATTCAGCGACCTTTTTAACCACTACTTCGTAGCGCAAAGCCAACATTTAACTCAAGACAGCAAAAGAAGAGACGCATACACTAGAAGTTGGATTAGACAGAGGGAATACAGCGAGGACATTGGAGACGCTGTACTTTCACTCAACACTGAAGGCCCCTCCACCGCGCAACCAGACTTCCGCGGAATGTCCAACGCCATCCACAATGGATTGCAGAGGACGCCGCCCGCCGATGCATTAGAAATTTGGATCAATCTCTCTGCCGATGGCACGGCGCTTGGTCATTAAGACCTCCAGCTCCGTCACAGCGGTATCCACCGCTTACTGTGCAAGAGCAATATGAGCTTTCTTGTTGTTCCTGGACCACAGTACCTTGGTTTTGAACCTCAACTTCCTTCATCTCCACAACTAATTCCTGGCAACTTACCAAGTGCTGCTCCTCGCGCAATTTTCGCGGTCTGGACTGTGTGCAAAATCTGAGCGTGGGTGTGTTTAGGGTCTTTTCCTTCACCTTCACGCAACAATGTGAAAAGTGACCTAGGAGACCTTCAAGTCTTGAATATTTCAACCTGCCTAATTAGGCAACTTCTATAGCGGTGTGGATTGCAGTAGCTGCAAAGACCTCCTGGCTAGGGTTTTGTCGTTTGAAGGAAGTTGCGAAATTAAGCGTGGAGTGCTTCAGCGCTGTATGGCGAGGTCTTTTGGATATGCGAATATACGATGCAGCCTCCTCGCATAAGTTTAAACATCAACATGCAGATCCCTCACAATAACGATTGCACAAGATTCTCACATCTCCATTCGCTCGCTTCCACCTATCTCCTCCTCTCCCGACGATCAACCACTCTTCCTCCTCCTCTCCCGACGATCAACCACTCTTCCTCCCCCTCTCCTCCCCCAAAACGGCCAACACCCTCCTCGTGATTCGATCTCTCTTCTGTACATCAACAACCCCATAGCTTTCCCTCGCCTGCGCAAAATCCCCTCCTCCCACCCCTTCCCCTACGTTCACCTTCCCAGCGTCATCCCAACATTCTTGAACCGTCCCCCCAATATTTCTAAAGAACCCTTCCAATCCATCCGACCCACCACCTGCATGATAACTTTTGAACGGCCCCGCAACAGCCCATCGCGGCCCCATGCTTGACGTAACGATATCGTCGAGTTCAGAAACAGATACCACGCCTTCCTTCACAAGGTGTATAGCTTCGCGCAGGAGGGCAAAGGCAAGTCTGTTCGCTACAAAGCCCGTGGTCTCGCGCTTAATCTCTATCGGAATTCTACCTCTGGCTGTCCAGAATTCTGTCGTGCGGGTGATGATCTGGGGGGAGGTGGTTGGTGATGGCACGAGTTCTAGTAGGGGCATGATGTGTGGGGGGTTGTACGGGTGGACGACCAGGAGGCGCGATTTATCGCGCATCGAGGAGGATTGCTGCGAGGCCGGGATGCCGGATGTACTGCTCCATAGTAGGGCGTCTGGTGGTGCGTGGTGTTCTACGTCGGCCCAGAGGGATTGTTTGAAGGGGAGGTTTTCGGGCCCGGATTCTTGGACTATGTGGGCGTTTTGGACGGCTTCTTGGAGTGTGGATGCTAGTTTGATGTCGGAGATTGCTGTTGTTGATGATGGGGTTTGGTCGTCGGTGAAGAATTTTGGGAGGTTTTCTTGGATGTGTTCGGATAGGTTTGGTCGCGTGTCGTAGATTGTGAGTTGTGAGGCGTGGGGGAGGTGGGTGAGGTGGAAGGCCGCGAAGGAAAGCCCGATTGTGCCGGTCCCTATCAATGTGATTCGGAGTTCTTGGTCGGATTTTGTTGATTGTTCTTGACTTCGAGTATCTGACTCAGATTTGGATGACATGGTGATTATCACGACTAAAGACGTCAGACGTGAAGATGTGAGTCCGATAACTCAATGGAAAGTTGTGTGAGGATGGTCTACAGCTCCAATCTCACATTGACCTGCGAATTCTCGATGAACAATCCCAGTAACCAGATGAGGCTGAACACACACGTATCGTGTGCGCCGATGGACGCATGGTGGGCGTCTAGGTGGCGGTCAATCTTGTCCAAATTGGTATGGTTGAGAGAGCTTCCTTAACCCCGCGTCGCGCTCCACGGCCATGATCACCCCGCGGCTCTATGATCGACTCGAATCCTGCGAATCCGATGGAAATGGCGGCGCCGAGGAAGGAAAATGGGTTCCCCAAATCGCCGCCAAATGCCGAGATTTATTCTTCAACCTTAAAGCTTCTGTGGAAACGCTTGTGTCCGACTTAAAGTGCCAATTGCAGCTATCCACTAACAAAGACGACTTCCTGTAGCCTGTATCTGGTCAATAGATAGTCAACATGGTCATCTTCAAGTCGAGGCAGCCGCCTCTTGATTGTGAGCAGTTCCTGAAACAGTGCTCGAGCTTCAGTAATTGACTTTATCTAGTGCCCACGGAGCTGACAGACTGGGACTGGTTGTTCGATTCCTCCTACTCGCCCATCAACAACTACCCACCAAATGAGCTTGCTGGCTTTCAGAACGCCATAACGAAGGAACGCGTCAATTGGGCAGACGTTAAGAAGTACTCGACCTACATATCCACTGCCTTGGTCAAAAAGTATGGCCTCAAGACGGGTGAAACTGTTTCGCTCTTCAGTCAGAATACCGTATGGTATCCAGTCGCTATGTTTGCCGGCCTCCGTGTAGGAGCTAAGATCAGCGGTGCGAGTCCAGCATATAATGTCGAGGAGATGACGTTTGCTTTGAAGACAGCAGATGCAAAATTCCTGATGACGACGCCTGGCAGTATGGAGATCGCGGCTGCGAGTGCTAAGGCCGCTGGTCTGCCGCAATCAAATGTTTTTCTACTCGAGGGCGAGTTGCCGGGATACACGACAGTTCAAGACCTGATCCGCATCGGAAAAGGGTACGGCGAGTCTGGACAGTCGCCTGCATTCAAACTGCCTCCAGGCAAGAAAAATAAGGATATCTGCGGCTTTTTATCATTTTCCTCTGGCACAACTGGGCTTCCGAAGGCTGTCCAGATATCGCATCAGAACGTAATAGCGCAATGTCTTCAAGTTCAGCAGATCACACCAACATCCCAAAAGAAGATCATGGCAGTACTCCCGCTCTTCCATATCACCGGCCTGGTCCACCAAATGCACCTCCCAGTCCTGCTCAATGCCGAGGTTGTCATGCTACCACAATTCACCATGGAGAAAATGCTGGATACTATCTGCGAATATAAGTTGACTGAGCTATTACTCGTACCACCGATCTTGATCAGACTGGTTCGCGATCCGATAGTCGACAAGTACGATCTCAGCCATGTAACACGATTCTCATCAGGCGCAGCTCCCTTGTCAGAAGAAATCATCCAACAACTGCAAAAGAAGTTCCCCAACACTGGATTTAAGCAAGGCTACGGCATGACGGAGTCATGCAGCTGCATCACCGCCCACCCACCCGAGAAGTTCTCCTACAAATACGCACACACGGGTGGCGCCATCGTGGCCTCTACGGAAGTCAAGATCATCAAAGATGACGGCACAGAAGGCGACGTCAACGAAGACGGCGAAGTACTAGCCCGCGGCCCACAAGTCGTAATGGGCTACCTCAACAACGAAAAAGCCACCAAAGAAACCTTCGACGAAGACGGCTGGCTGCACACAGGCGACCGCGGCGCCATCGACGAAGAAGGCATGATACACATCACGGACCGCATCAAGGAACTCATCAAAGTCAAAGGCATCGGTGTTGCCCCCGCTGAGCTCGAAGACTTACTCCTAGGCCACCCAAAAGTCGAGGACGTAGCTGTCATGAGCGTGAAAGACGACTACTCGGGCGAACTACCCAAGGCGTACGTTGTGCTGAAGCCTGGGATTGCAGAGGATACTGCGGTTGGCAAGGAGATTATTGCGTATGTCAAGGAGAAGAAGGTAAGGTATAAGTGGGTTAAGGAGGTGGAGTTCATTGGTGAGATTCCGAAGAGTCCGTCTGGTAAGATTCTCAGGCGCGTGTTGAGGGATAAGGAGAAGAGTGGGAAGTTTGGCTTTGTGGTCAAGGATGAGGCGAGGTCGAAGTTGTAGGTGTGGATGTTGATGTTGGTGTTGGTGTTGGTGTTGGTGATTGATTGGTGTTGAAACGGCAACCAAGTGGAGACAACTAAGCTACTGCAACAAAAGTTTTCTCACCGCAGAGTTTACCGGCCCCGCTGTCGAGTCATCACCTAAATTATCTACACAAGAGCATAGATTGGAAGAAACTCTGTATATAAGAATTACAATTGAAAAACCGCAGCACAAAAGTAACCAATCAGCGCCCCTGAGCTTCCGGTTTTGTAGTGTAGCGGTTATCACTCCGGATTCTGATCGTCTCAGTAGTCTTCCGGCAACCCCGGTTCGATTCCGGGCAAGACCTTTATTCTTTTTGGCACTTGCAGCTACTATGTCCAGTCTAGCAATGAATATTTTTGGTGGTTGAGAATTAACTCTTTGTGTGGTTTTTAGGGGTATGTATGTGCAACCACTTTTCTCAGAGTCGAGCAGCCACGACCCCGAGACGAATAGTCATCTACACAGTCAAAATAGATAGATCGAATCGCATGCTGTTCACCTGTCTATGAGTAATTGTTTTTGGGATTCTTACTGTAATACTGCCCCCATTTGCAGAAAAAAAACCCTCCGTGTGCCGATATCTCGGCTTCCTGCAGCACCGCCAGCAACTCCAGCACCCTTTACACGCACAACATACGGGAGTAGCAAAAAGAAAAGCGTACTTCATCTACACCAGATACGGAAACTACGTGACTTGGCCGTGGCTCGAACACGGGACCTTCAGTGATCTAACGAGGTGTTAGACTGACGTGATAACCAACTACACCACCGAGCCGTTTTGAAGTGCGCATGAAGATGGTTATTGTGGTAGTATGTACATAAAGCCATCGAACGTGAAACTACGAAGGCAGACTAAACGTAATTTGAGGTAGAGTAGCTAGATTGACGATGCCTGGGCGTCTCGCAGTGTAGTTTCGATCCATGTGCCGATTGGACCCACCCCAAAGGGAAAATTCCGTCCGCTAAGTAGCACTTAGGGGGGAAGGTCGAACCGTTCATGGTCGGCAAGTGAGTGGGTATGCGCAAGGGGTCACAGTGGAAATCGAGTTATGATGTGGGGTATTGTGCAAAGCAGCGATTGCATTCTCAGTACTTGGACTAAGCCTTCCGTTCCCGATACCTAGCCTCAATCCAACCTTAATCCCGCTAAGCATCCTATCAAAACAAGACCGCCTCCAAGACTATGAAAACAGCGAAGCCGTTATGGCTATCGCAAGTAAAAACGAGAGAGATAAGAAAGAAACAGTGCTTGCAGCTAGGTGAAGCTGGGGTAGCCAGTCACTAGCAATAAGCCTTGGGTATCGAGAGCGCGCAGCTGGATGAGAGCTGGCATAGAAACATTACGAGTAAGGCGGTATGGGTAGGTATATGTGCGCTTGCGCGCGACCGCTTCTAGCCTTGTTGCAAGGCCCCTAAATGTTTGAGAGAGTGTGAGAATCCAGGTAACATGAAAAGAGAAAAACAATGAGAGTTATGAGAGATGATGGGGCCGGTTGCCATGATAGTGGTGATATGAGATGCTTTTGTAGCAACAAAGGAGACGCAGTAAAGATGATGGAAGTAGTCCGAGGACAGAAACAGCAGCAAGACGCCGGCGAGGTACGTTCGGCCGTCGGGCATACCCGTCACACGTGAACGAGTCATAACCGCTACGCGTGCAATTAGAAGCCGCGGAAGGGATCATTAGAGTCAAAGTCCTCGAAGAGGCCACCGGATCGATTGGACTGATCCCTGGTGCTAGCGCTCCACTGGCTGCTACCACGACGACGGTTCATACGTGCTCTGCCAACGTGTGCAGGGAGCTGCTTAGTGTCACCTAAAGCGTTGTCGATGACTGCATGTCGAGGTACAGTTAGTCATGTCCCATAAGAATTTCGTACGCAAGAGAACTTACAAGCTTCCATCCGCATCGTGCCCATGCTATCGAAAAAGGTGCGACGCGTAGAGGCGCTAGCATCAGAGGTCCTGGAGCTTATAGCACCACCATTGTATACTGACGAGGGCACTGAAGGTGGCGCTGCCGCGCTGTACATGTCCGACGAGCCATTGGAGTAGACCGATGGAACGTGCTGGTGAGAGAAGCTGCGGAAAGGAACATTAGGCGGCGGAGCGCTAGGTCCAGTTGAGCTCCTCTTTCTACCATGTTGAGGAAGGCGTGGGATACTGGGAGGACTGGCAGAGTCTGGTACAGGCTTATCGAATCCAGCAAGTGAAGGAAGCCCTGGTATAGGCTCGTTTTGAGATGCGTATCGTGCCATGACTGGGTTCGCCCTGCCTTTCGCGAGGCGTACCGAATCTTGGACACGACTGCGGCGAAGCGTCGCCCCTTGTGCGCGAGGTTGTGGTTCCTCAACTGGTGGCGGCGCAGGCGGCATGGATCCTAAGTCAGGCATGGGGGAACTCGAATGCGCCAAGAAAGACAGAGCTGTCAGCCACAAGTAATGGCGTTCTTTTGACACGGTAGTGAATTTAAGAGCACGCGCAGGAGTGAGGATCAGGATGGATCGGTTGAAGACGACTTCATTCCTGGGAGCAGGACTGTTATCGGCAACGTCAAGCACCGATTGAATGATTACTGAAAAAATATAAGCCGTCAAGTCATGCCATGAAGGATTACACACTCACATTTTCGACCACTCTTGCCCATGAGTGCTGAGCCAGACGTTGGCTGCTTGCTGCTCCACAAAATTGCCCGTTCATACGGCGAGATCCAGACCCAACGTTTATGTCGCACACCATTCTGAGCGAGGGAAGCCTCCTCGGCTGCGCGAGAAACATCTGCGGGCGACTCTGGGCCACCGAATGCCTTCCTCTTGCGGACGTACTTCCACATGAATTCGCCTATCATGGATGCAGCAATGGCATCAACAACACTAGTTTGAGTTGCAGAACTGTTGATAGAGCCATTCGCCGTGTATGCGGTAGCCGTTGACAATTGGTGCCTATGACCGAGGCCGCTGGCACTGACAATGTCACTCGGCAGAGGCGGTATTGAACTAGTATCGGCTACGCTAGGTGTAGCAGGAAGCGTCGGTGACCTGCTACGAGACCGTCCAACTTTTGAGACTGGGACAGCTGAGCGCACCTTCCGCAAGCTGTCCTTACGTTGGTGTTTCACTCCATATGGACGGCGGCCAGGATACGATCCGCTGTTGCGCGGCGTTGGGCTTTGGGAGCCCTCGCTCTTGCTGGTCGGCTTGTTGCGTGAGCTTGATCGGGTAGGCACCGGGAAAGGCGGCTTCGGGACGTAGTTGCTGGAGCCCAGGCTGCCGATACTTGGGCTACGAGAACGTATGTGTGCCGCAGTGCCACTTTGAATCATAGCGGACCGTCGGATGCTTGGTTGGCGGCCAATAGAGTTGCGTGAGGGTTTGCCAACCTTGGCCGGTTTCTCCATGGAGCTTCGCTTTGATGTCAGCGAATTAGCGTTGATAGAGTCTTCAGAGGGCCTAGATGTCGGTGTCGATTCCTTGTCTTCTGGAACAGGCGTTGGAGGGTTCACTGGACGTCCACTCTTCGCATTGCGTGAAGAGAGCATAGGGGTTGAGAACTGCGGGTTTCTATAATCATCGTCACTGGCCTCGGCATCGTCGTCATCATCTTCGTCGGATGATGGACCATCAAAACCAGCAAAAAGACTGCTTGTCCGGAACGGCCTGCTAAGAATATCGGCTTGGTGTTGTCGAGATAATGGGCCATTGTCGTTGTTCCCAGGATAGCGGTTCTCCACTTTCTTGTCGGCGGCCTTCTCAAGTAGTGCAAGCAGATCCTGACGGGCAGACGGTTTCGTAGTAGGCGCCTCTGTATCGCTAGAAGCCGGATGGTGTGAGTCTTTCCTGGCACCCTTCGCCGGTGCCTGACGGTTAAGATTCGGTTCGGGCGTCCCAGGCTTGGATGATATGGCGGAGGGAAGTAGATTCGGTGGGAGCTTAACAGGGCGCCTGTCTATCCTGATCGGCTCTGTCTGCATGCCAAAAGAGCGCATCGGTGCTGCAAGGTCACCGGTCGTCTGAGTCGACACGGTCTTGGTCCCTGGCGGAAGGATGGGCTCCTTGGGCGATGAAGGCGCCGAAGTTGGGGCATGGATCGCAATCGATGGGACTGAAATCGAAGCTGGTGGTGGTGCTCTCTTGCTAGGAGGCAAGGATACTTCCTGAGGCTCGTCCAGCGGATCTGTCTGAGTTGAAGTGGAAACGACATCAGCTTGAAATACAGGTGACATAGGAGGTTGGTCTATGGGAATGGCGATCTTCGGAGTGTCTGGCGGGCTCAACGGCTGGTCCACTGTTTGTACCGAGCTAGACGTCATCAAACTCGGAGTAGGGCTAACACCCGGCGGGGGACTGGGGCTCAACGGGACAGAAACGCGTTTCCGACTTTGGTTCGCTTCAATTTCTGCAATGGTAGATAAAATCTCGTTTGATTTCATCTGAACAGCAGCTTCGGATGTTTGTGACGAGGCTTCTAACATGGCCGGTCGTGTGGGCGATGGCGGAGGAGATGGTTGTACGCCAGTATCAACATATATTGGCCGGGTCGGTGGGAAGATCAAGGTGATGTCTCGCGGGGTAAGCGTTACTGATGATTGGGCTGTTTCATGTGATGTCTTTCGATGCCCGACCTCCTCCGTCGCCGGAGGGTTGTCCCAGTTTGCTTGCTGTTGTTCATTACTTAAACCTAAAATGCGTTTCGCTTTCTCATCTGGATACATCGATTGTCGCGATTCGAGAGCCCTTCTTGCCCGCATCTCATTTTCAGGGAAGTCGTCAGAATCGAGCTCAAGTTCTCCTAGATCTTCCTCCTCTTCATCAAACACGAGTTCGTCAGCCAAGCTGATGCCATTGGCTCGACCATGTCCATCTGTGCTCATCAAAGACATACGATAACTGCGTCCAATACTTCTATAGCTGCTGTTACTCCGGTTTCTCGAATGGCGTCCAACCCGAGTAGACGGTCTTCTCTGAGGCGACGAGTATATACTGCCTGCGTCGCTTTCAGGAGCCATACCATGGTCCCGTGTGATATCATCGCCTTCGCTCTCTACACCAGCCTCTTCATGAGCAGCTTCGTGCAACGCGATCTCGTCCAGAAGCAGTTTCAAGCGGTTTTCGGAGATATGCACCCGTCGCTCCAAGTTTAGCTTCTCTCCCGTCCATGTCTCCTTTTCGCGGGCCCACATGTCGTGTACCCTGGTAGAATCATCCTCCTGGCTGCGCGTTTTCTTCTGTGCGGCCTCAAGTTTGCTTCTTAGGTCTACATTGGCTTCCTTCATCTTGTCTCTTTCGCCAGCTATCTCCTCAAGTG